AAAGTGTTTACCCCCTCCTTTAGCGTTCTTTTTGCATAGGTACACTCGTGCAGCTTAAAGGCAGTGTCCAGGCAAATCTCATATGGATTTTTTGCCCAGAAATTGTCGAAGAGGTCCTAGTTAGAGTACTGCCCAAACGGCAGCACAATTCATTAATTCACGGCTGAGAAATCCATCCTCAAACACTCCGCGGCTTCACCGTGACCGTAACACTTGGGATGAGTCCCAGCTTAAACGTAGTGTTAAAGTGAGCGAAGTCGTTTTCGGGATACGGTCACGGCGCAGGTGCGGGGTTTTCGGAGACTGATTTCTCAGCCGTGAATGACGAATTTGCGCTGCCTCTTGGGCAGTGCCATAGTTAGGACCCCCTCATCAATTTTCGGGTGGAAAACCTATGCGCTCAGATTTACCTGGAGACTGTCTTTAATTCATATCCGTCATTGCGCTCTCACACTGCTGCCTATTTCAAAATCAGTCCGTAGCATATTAATTCAATTATGATGATATCTATTCAGTCCTGGCTTAGCTTTGAAGGCTTGTAAGTGGTGTGCCACCTGTTCTTTCCCTGATAAAGCCATTGAAGATACCGTGTGGGATCAAGTGCGCAGAGTTGCCTCTCAACGTTGAGATTCAAGACATTTTATGTAGGTCGAATGCTCTAACCATGGGCATTGCGAGTGCGGACGGTGCGTCTGCGATGAAGGTTTCAATGGTGCGCGATGTGGTGCTGCTGATGAAGTAGGATCCGCTAGATAATTCACTAGTATAGAAATAGTGTAGTGATAGATAGTGATTAGCTTAGGCGTCGTAGCCTCTCGATTTTAAATGCCTAAAACAAAGTTTTTGTCCAGATAGTGACGATGAGTCCGCCCGAAGAGGAGGAGATGCCAGAAGAAGAGCCCAAGGATCCTGTTGGAGCGGCGGAACCCACAACAGTGGAGGAAGACGTTCAGAATATGGTGAGTGGTACAGTGAATCGGAGAAGGTGATAATTTGTTTTTCAGGCAGAGGATCCAGTGTCACAAGAGGACAACAATGCAGTCGAAAGCACAGAGAGTGACTACCCATCAGAGGCGGAAACAGCGGAGGAATCAATGACGTCATCAGCAGTATTAGTATCCCTCACCACCATTGCGCTTGCATTCGCTTTCATCTGAAATTTCTCTTCCGAAAGCGATTATTGTTAAAATTATTGTAGTTTTCGAACTTTTAGTTCCTGCGGTTTGTGCTAATGCTAACACTCTTTAAACTACTTAGAGAGAGCATAATTATGCATTAGCTTTGATAGCCCAGCAGTGCGGTTGAAATGAGTGCCTTTTGTATTATCAACTGTTATACCTCGCAAATCCACAGTTGATCCAGCGATTTCACGGTTTGCGTCACTTTAATATTCGATATTCTGCACCAAATTTCATAAAGCAGAAGGTCGGTCACGTGTTTGTTGTGTGGATGGCCACGTGTGTCCTATATGAGTAACGCGAGAAGATCCGTATTCTTATGTATGTAGCCATTAAGCATTTGGCGATTTCTCAGTATTTTGATTTGTATGTATGCCCTCATTAGAGCCGTTGTCATCTTCATATTTTTTTGTATATAACTATTTTCTCATGTAACAAATGAATGTCCATAAACACAGGCAAAGATTTGTTGAGCATGGTTTAGATGTGTTTATTAGCTTTGTCAGTGAATGAACTCATTAGTGTAGACCAAGACTAGCATGATTAGTGTGCGCGACATTTATTTTTTGGTTCAAGTTACTTTATTCTTCATGGTCTGTCTGCTACCGTACTTTGCGTGTATGCAACACAAACTGGGTTACAGGACGGTTAATGTTGATAGAGACATTGAAGTCAAATGTTAACATACCATTGGGTGCTTCATTTTTCCCTTTTGATTATAATCGAAACATAGTCACTGAGCATTATCATTTGTGTAAGTGACCTCTTTCGTACTGGCAACACCTTGATCGCGAAACCCCGCTGTTAGCGCTTCAGAGAGCTAGATTATGTGGCAAATGGGTAGCGTCTGAGCGGAAACTCAAATTTGATTTTGTTCAGTAGGTCTTATCCGCTACGTCTAAAGAATGTAGTAGTGATCAAAAACGGGAGGTGGCCTTACAGCTGAGACCAGCCTTCGGCACATGTTTTTCATTTTTTCAGTTTTTCTCCGGTCAGAATCAGTGAAAGTGGGAGCCGTTGTGATCAATGATATAGCGTTGAATATACAAAATAGTGGTTTTTTGGACAATTTCGTTCACGACAGGGCAAATTACAATGATTTTTAATGTGGCTTTGTAACTATGACCAGCACTATAGCTACTAAACATTCTCGCTTGTTAAAGCTATGTTGCACAATTGCCTCAATTCTAACTTCAGAGATTTTCACGAATGACGGGTTTATTCTGAGTGAAAGACATTGCAATTGTAGTAGAAAATTAGAAGGTGCTGATAATGAATAATAATCTACTTTATTGATTTTGTCGGAAAAAGTTTGAGCTACAAGACTAGGAGTTGGTACAGGGGGTAAGTGAGGGTGCTGATTATGAATAAATCGGCTTTAGCCGGGTATGCCAGCAAGTTTTAGATACGGCTGCTCCAGTTATTCGGTAAATCATTCGAAAATTTATACGAAATTCGACTCCCAATGTTCAAATATAATCGATATTCATTCATTCAATGTTTCTGATTTTGCGATTTTATTTGGGATTCATTCATTCGAAAATTTTTAAATCTCGAATTTATGCGATATTTGTAGATTTCTTATTTTCGAATTTACTCGATATTTGTTCATTCAGCGAAAAATTTCGATTTTCCCCAAGTATATTGGACACTGTCGTTGTTTGAGCTTCATGCGTCTTCCTAAAATTAACCAAATGTTTGGACAAAGGCAAGGTTCATTTGTTCTTCATTTAAATGCTCCGACGGAGGCGATTTGACAGAAACGTTAGGCGGAAAGGAGTCATACTAACCTTGGTGAAGCAATCCAGCAAACAATATCAGAACGCCGAGAATCACAGGAATATGGAGTATTCTTCAACGCGTAGAAGCAAACTGCTTTTGATTTGTAAGAGAGGTGCCCTTCATTAAAGGCAGCATCAGGGCAAGTCGGCGACCCATGGCTGTCATTGGCCCTACTGTCACGCTAAATAAAAATTTGAGCATCAAGTTGCTTGAAACAGTTGAAAACAGGATGATTTCGCACCCTCCGACAAAGCCCAGACGAGATTGATATGACTAGGAGCTTAGGCAGTCAATTAAATAGTGTGAATGCAGATTTGCTCGCTAGTTCAGAATAAATATGCATTGGTGGTCTAGTGGGCTGGCGGAGAACCCAGGCGGGCGGAGGGCTTCTTCCAGAGCGATATTTTCGCTTACTATGTCAAATCAGGGTCGACAAGAGGACTGAATGGCACACCATTGCCCTCATACGACTCCCCCCCCCCCCCCTCTGCCACCGCTGACTCTCAATAGACACCCACCCAGCATTATCGTTTACCTACCGTATGCATAACATAGAGGTCCTGCCAAGCGCAATGAGCAACATTCTTGTGATTGGCACGTCGAAAGCTCCTATGGAAGTTTCAGCGAGTTTGTGGCTTTCAGATACTGGGCCACTCAAGTTAAAAATTCATTTTCAAACATGATTAGCTACCTCTTTCTGCACTCAATACAGAGCACTGCTCCGCCTTTGCCCATATGAGAAATCACGATTCAAATAATCGCTATTCTATGGGATTAGGATCCTGCCAAACTCTCGTTAGTTCCAAGTCGCTTTGGTTGTGGTTTCAGCAGTTGTTATCCAGATCAAAGAAGACGAATCAGGCTCAAACCACAGCTGTAAAATCTATGAGATTCAGCCTATTGGACTTTCTATGAAGAGAAGTTAATGGGTGTGGCACAACCCCAGAAAGGTGTTGCTGCCACATTTTTTCTTTGGGATTGTGCCACACTTCCATTGAGTTACCTTCGAAACATTCAGCATCCAGGTTTGTTCTATTGTTAAGACTGCTAAACCTATTTTTCACAGCATAGATTTCATCCGAAGTCGTCACATTTAGAAGAAGATAAAGTATTTTTTCCTATGTTCATGGCAAATATTGGGGCGGTAGTACGCTAGAACTGCGCTACTACGTATATTGCGTATTTGATAGCTCAGGTCTCTCATTTTCACAGGAGTGATTTCAGCCTAATTCGTCTTCTTTAATCTGAGTTATAATTGTCGAAATCAAAACCACTAAGCGAAATGAGGCGAAATAATTGACTGGCTCTCAATTCTATAGCTTGGCAGTCATTTGGAGAGGGATCTACCAAGTGGACAAAAAGGAGTAATGCCTTATGTTGAATGAACTAACAAGTAACTCATCTTCAGAACAACTTTATCATGTTCGGAAATGAAATTTGGAAACCCCAGAAGTCGCTGAAATTTGATCTACAAGGGCTAACATGCTAATTATTGATATGGTCATAGTGAGCTTCTTGAATAGTGGCCTCAACTGGCCTTGTTAATAATATCGTGGTATCGCTAACATCAGTCTACGGCTCCCTTCCGTCTTTGACTCCTCAATACGACCCGATGTGGCATACCACACCCCAAGCTTGACCCGGCAGAAGATCGCTATCTTGAGGTAGACGACACACTTTCTTCGTCGGTATCAGGAGCACTAAATAACGTATTACTATACCAGACATGTGGCATCCGAAGATAGCCGGCAGATCCGAGACATAGACGTTCAAATTTGGAAGACGACGTGAAAGACGAGGAGAGATAAGATGTGCGCATTAATGAAATGTATGTTCCAAAAATCATGCAGTCAAGGGAATACCGCGATTATTTTGAATTAGAATAGTAAATGGAGAAATTTCAGCAAACAGACTACGACCCGTAATTACAATCCTTTTTGTGGTATTATTTCAATCCATGTTTCACAAGCCGCAAAAGTCAGATCTCAAGACTCCGCTTATCAAGTTTTCGCAAATTTCATTTCACCGAACTGATTTATAGTGCACCAACCGCCTAATTTCACACTTGGAGCGGTTTGAAGGAACTTTCCTTAAGGCCACAAAACCATCAAGATAAGTCAGTGGAAAGGACTTTGCTTACAGTCGCGGACCCCATCAAGATAGCAGTCAGTAACACGAGTTCGTGATCATACCAAAAATCACTGAAGGTTGCAGTCTCAACAACAACTTTAGGACAAATCAGCATCGCAATTTTTTAGAATCATCGCGAGGCAGTTATCAAGTTAACGTGCTTTGGGGTTGCTTTTGACGTAGTTGTCGCCTCGGTAGGAATTATTTGCAATGTTGGACAATTGCTAGTCTGGCAGATTTACTGAGTCAAATGACTTGCCCGCATCGGTGGTTCAGTGTTAGAATGCTCGGGTGCCACACGGAAGGACCGAGTTCGATTTCCGGCTGACGCACCAGAATTACTGGACTAACTGCTTTGATGTTGCCTTAGGCGTAGTTGTCGCCTTGGTAGGAATTATTTGCACGTTAGATAATACGCTAGCCTGGCAGATTAATTGAGTTAGACGACTTGCCCTTACAGGAGCAGTGGAAGAATGTCGCATATGATAGGCGAAGCGAAGTGACTCAACAAGCATGTGGATAGAGATACACCGCAGGTCATGCTTATGCATACCTTTACGGTACTTATTATATAATTAGTACAGGCATAGTGATATGTATAAAGAGAGGTGCCGACAATTTTGGCACAGCAGTATCGAGCTTAATAAGCTTTAGATGGAAACGGCTGGTCTCTTTGAACATCTCATAGAACGCCTTAAAGGCAGTGTCCGGGCAAAAACTCGATTTCTAGAAAATACACTTACCGGGATTTATCCGCAACGCTGAATCCGAAAATCCACATGAGAAGGCGCAAAAACGGCGAGAACATGCGTTTTCCAAAGCCTTACAATTTAAAATTTGACGGTCCCCGCCAGGCAGAGACGCAGAGTCGCTGCGGGACTCTACGACTTTAACTGTTGCGACATGCGTACTCTGCCGCATAGCAGGAACTCGGACAGCACGGAGGATCCCGCCCCAAGGCGTAGGTTTCCCCATTTTTTGGTCGTTTTTTTGTTTTAGGTCGAGCGTTATGATCAGAGTTGAGCAAAAGGTCAGGCACAAGTCGTTTGGAAACGACCCCCCCCCCTTCCAGGAAGATCCCCTCTTAATCCTCTCCACCTCCGGAACTCCAGAGTATGACACTCTGCAGGAGACGAGTTTGTCCTGCAGAGTTTTCGAATTTTAGAAGACTTATGATTGCTTTTCTGTAATTGTACATTACAAGACGCAGTTTGACGGTAGATTTTGATGCGAATCGCCCTATTGAACGAGCCAGAATATTCCCAGGAGTGGGGTGTTTTGCTCATTTTTACTGAGGCAAGAAGAGGCTATGAGCTAATACTCATTCCAGGAATGGACTGTTTTCTAAATTTTGAAGACAAGTTAATTGGGTGAGGCGCAAGCCTACAAAAGCTCAGGCGGCCTGACCTTTTGAGGGGTTGCGTCTGATCCCATGAACTTTATCTCCGAAGACGCTTTTTCATCCAAGTTTTATGCAATTCGCTAGCACAAAGCTCGAACATTCTACAGTAGGTGTTTGAGCTTAGCTCGACTTGTTTCGGCTTTGTGGTAATCCGCGGAGTTGACGCGCTCAAGGTGA